TCGGTCGGGCTCCCTATGGGGCCACGAAGCGTGTGAGGGGTGTGCTGGCATGTAGCGTGGGCGCATGTTGCACCGCCGCTGAGGCCTTCGGTGAATCTCTGTATGGGGCCACGGCACGTGTGATGGGTGTGCCGAAACTGGTGGCGATTATGGTGATGATGACGATGATGATGAGGATGGCGATGGTGACAGTGGTGATGATAACGAGGGCCCAACACTACAGGATGGCTGGGAACAAACCAATCCAAACTAATTTTCGTACGTCAAGTTGGGCCGTAGATGAATCCACATGGGGGCGCGAGCCGTGTGAACGGTGTGCGGGAACGGGCGGGGTAGGCATCCAACTCCTCACGTGAGGCCTTATGTCGAGCTCCCTGTAGCACGAAACGGGTGACAACGAAAAGGCTTGGCGAAATGGGCGCGGGGATGCACGCAATTACCCTCGCAGAGGCCGTAGGTGGAACTCCCACTGGAAAAACGAGTCGTGCGAAACCACATGGGGGGACAACGAATCGTGTGAGGGGTGTGCCGACATGAGCATGGGTCGGCATGCGATTACCCCTGGTGTGGTCGTAGGTGGGACTCCCTACGAAGGAATGAAGCGTGTGATGCGTATGCCAAACTTGGCATGCGGATTGGGGGCATATGCAGGGGGCGGAAGGGGGAGGAGGCGAGGAATGGGAATGAGGTGAGCAGCGCGGCGCCATTTAATGTAAGTTTGTGGTCAACATAGACAAGCCCGGCGCGTGACTTTTTGAGTGGTGTCTTTGCTTTGGCGGATCGCGGGGGGGCGCCGGCCAAATGGAAACTCACCACGGCTGCGACGGTGATTAGCGCCGACACCATGCCGCGAGCTGGAGGGCGACAAACGCGACGCAACTGGCGTCGCTTCAGCGGGGGGACAGCAGGCTCTCCGCTACAGCGGGGCGTTTGGGCCAAAATGGCTACATATACAAAAAGAAGAAGAGGCGGGAGGAACAGGCGCCTCACAGTTGGCGGGCGGTGCTGGCATGACAACGAACAAGAAGTGGAAGAGTGGGGACAAACGCCAGAAGTAAGCGGCAACGGCTCCTCCTTCTGACTCTCCCCTCCTCTCCTCCCCCCCCTCCACTACAATATGTCCTATGACGACGACGACGGCGACGTCGACGACGACGGCGACGGCGCGGCGATGGCGGACGACGACGCGGATGCTCCATGGGGGCAGGGGGGTGCTGCGTAGGCCCATAGGGGAATTTCCCCCCCTCCCAAGCTGATTACTGGCGTGCCATCGTCGTCGTCGTCGTCGTCGTCGCGGTCGTCTTCGTCGACTACAGCGGGCCTGCGCAGGACCCCCTTCATCCGCCCCCATGACGCATCCGCAGTGCGTCGTCCTCTCGTCGTCGTCGTCGTCGTCGTCGTCGTCGTCGTCCTCGTCGACCTTCAGCGGGCCTCGCAGCACGCCACCCCCCCCCCGCCCCCCCACCCATGGGGGAAGTTCCCCCCCCCCCCCAATCTGATGACTGACGTGCCATAATCGTCGTCGTCGACGACGACGACGACGGCGGCGGATGCGGCGGCGGCGGCGACGATGGAAGACGATGCACTGCGGATGCCCCAGGGGTGGTGGGGTGGGGGCGAATGGCGGGGGTGGCGTGCTGCGAGGCCCGCGGTAGGTCAACGACGACGACGACGACGATGACGACGACGAGAGGACGACGCACTGCGGATGCGTCATGTGGGCGGTGGAGGGGGGGTGCTGCGCAGGCCCGGTGTGGTCGACGAAGAAGACCGCGACGACGACGACGATGGCACGTCCGTCAGTAATCAGCCTGAGAGGGGAAACACTTAGCCACGGAATGTATACGATCCCCAGTACGACTTCTATGCGAAATACAATCGTTTTGAGGCTGCCGCGCAGGGGTGTACACGATCCCCTCGGCGGCGCCCGCGACGACCACCTGGCGCGCGTGATTAAAAAGATAGTTTCGCGACCCCCGAGATGTCTTCATCAGCCTCGGGGGGGTCCATCACTTGGTATTCGCAAGTTTGCATCATTCAAAGCCGGAGCCTCAAACCACATGGTAATTCGGAAAACCAAGAGGCGGGAAGGGCTGAGGACTAAGGAGTCAGATTGGGCGCAGCGCTGCAGATTCAAAAAGAGGACCTAACGCCACAGGAGGATGCGGATGAGGTCGAGCGCGGCGCTGCGGATTAATAACAGGGACCCAACATTACAAAAGAGTTGGGACATATCCGGTACCCAAGGACATAACAGGTCCAAGACTCACGGCAATTGGGTGTGTCCGCGTGTCCATATACAGCTGGATCTCTCAGAAGCCGCACCCTGCTGGACCTCCTAGAAAATCACGCGATTGGCGGCAAGTGCACACTTGGCAGCGCCCTGGGAGGCGAGGTTTCATTTGGATCTGTGTAAAGGCGCACTCTTCTGGACCTCCCAGGAGCTACCGGACATGACGACGTTTGTGCAGTTCGCAGCGTCCAGGGATGCGACGTCCCACTTGGATCAGGGCAAGGCCGCACTCCGCTGGACCTTCCAGGAGCCCACGACAGTTACGACAGTTGCACAGCTTGCAGCGCCCATGAAGGGCGAGGGCGAGGAAGCGAGAAATAAGCGAGGAGGGAGGCAGGAAGGAGGAAGAATGACCAACAGTGCTTCACTCAAGCTGACGGCCCAGCACAAGAGGGGCCGGGAACGTATGAAATACCTACATTCACGATTGCAATTTGGCCAACGCTGTCTTGCAACTGCACGCTACTCCAGGAGGCACGTCGGGGAGCCTGACCAAGCTCAAGGTGCCAAACGCCCCAAAAGCTGGGCCGGACGCGCCCCCCAGGCTCAAGGCGGCCGTCTCCCAGCTCTCCGAGAGGGCTTCAGAAGCCACCCAGCGACGGCTGGATGGGTACGGCGACGTTCAGATCATCAATACAGGGCAGACATAGGATTAAAAGAAACATGTGATTTTAATACATGATTAATTCACAAATGGATTTATGCACGCACTCATCGTTGTTTTTGCTACTAAGTCCCTGCATTTTGAATACATGATCCGCACGCGGAGCATGTATTAAAAACGACACTGTACATATATTGGTTCCCAGACGGGTGCTTTGGACAGGTTTGGGCTTCTTGGGGCCCTTCTGAACTGGTTAGGGCGGTCTTGAGCCCGCGTGGGGGCCTCGCGCGGCCGGTCTTGAAGCTCTCTTGGTCTTCAGCTCGCTGAGGCTGGTAGACGGGCCTGTTGGAACCGTATGAAAATTAAACGGCGGGTTGGCCAACACGTCCAACACATCGTTGTTCCATTGTGCTTTTGTGATCTCTGCTTTTTGGCCTCTCGGGCGTCCTTCAGGCGCACTCCTGGTCCGTCTTGCTGCTCTCTGGGGTCGCTTGGGCCGTCTTGGGGCTGTCCTTGGCCGTCCAGGCTGGTTCAGGGCCCTCTTGAAGGCCCTCTTGGGTCCGCCCCCTGCGCTGCGGCCACCACGACTGGGCCTTCCATTCGCCTGCGCTTGCGCAGCTCTAGCCGTGGAGCCCAGGGGCAATGGACGAGGCAACCAGGAAATGCGGCCTTCCGACTTAAAACATTCTGCTCGAGTTAAGACCAGGACTGCACAACAACGCCCGAACTAAGAAATAACCAAATTCCCCTCCCCAAACCCCCAACCTTCACATTGGTAAATATTGTGTTCGAACTGTTGGGCTCGACATCTTGCCCGCCCTTCTTCTAAAGGAACGCTTGTTCAATATTAAAACCGGGGGGCGGAGGGTGGTCATACGAAGTGCCTCCTAAACTTTATGGCTCCTGCTTGCGCCGGGTATGCTTGACTTTCTTACACGAACGGACGCATTCTCTCAAATCCCACCAGCCCTTTGGGCGTGAGTGGTTTAGAGAGCCCGCTCTGTTCTCAACCCCCCTTCTTCCCCTTCGGGGAGGGGTTTACCCCTCCCCCTACCCCCTCCCCCTGGGCCTGGAGAGGGCGCCCCGCGGGTGGTTGGAGGGGTCTTTTTCGACTCCTGGGAGGGCAAAAAAACGACACCCCTCACGAGGATTCTGGCCCCGACGGGGGGAGGCAGAAAAATGCTCCCCTCTTCTTTGAAGCTAAACTCATTGATTTTACTACGGTTTGGGCCCCATTTTGGCCTTCTGAGGGGGCAGCGCTAATTAAAGCTCCCCTCTTCTTTCAAGCCAAAATCATTGATTTTACTAAGGTTTTGGCCCCATTTTGGCCTTCTGAGGGGGCAGCGCTAATTAAAGCTCCCCTCTTCTTTGATCGATTTCCTCCAAGATGGCCCCAAGAAGCGCCCAGGAGGCACCAAGAGGCCCCAAGATGGCCCCAAGAGGCCCCCAGGAGGCCCCCAAGAGGATCCCAAACGGCCCAAAGAGGCCCCCCCGAGGCACCCAAGACGCCGAAAAGCCCATCAGGACGACCCTCTACTCGCCTGGGCGTCGTTTCTGGACGGGCAGGAGGAGGGGCCCGAACGACTCACACCAGGACGAGGGGCCCGAACAACTCACACCACGAGAAGCCCGAACGACTCACACCAGGACGAAGAGCCCGAACGACTCACACCACGAAGAGCCCGAACGACTCACACCAGGAAGAAGGGCCCGAACGACTCACACCAGGACGAGAAACCCCAAACGACTCAAACCACGAGGAGCGCTTTCTCTCCCTCCTCCTCCGCCTCGTCCTTCTCCCGCTCCCACCACAAGGAGGATGTACAAGGAGGCGGGAGGAAGGCGGAACAGGGGAGATATGCGGGGGCAGGCGGAAACACGCCTGAAAAACACGACTGTCGGCATGCTTCGCTAGAGTTGCTGTTTTGAGATGGGCTGGTGGGGATACGCGAAGCGTGAAGAATTCACTTGCCGACCATCTCATCATCTCCACCGTGTTCTTTAGCCGTGCGTGCTTTCACTTGTCACATGGTGCAACATACGTGACATGTCTCGGGTATCAATTGCAATCCACTTCGAACAAAGAAGAAACGAAAGCGGTACCGGTCTTTTTCCCTTGTGCTGCACGAACCTTTTCAGCCTCACGCCAACAATGCCATAATCGGGCACATTTGCAAAGCAATCCTGAGAACCACCTGAACTAGCCGAGCATGCTCGGAGAGCAGTATGGAGCAATGGCCTCATTGATTCTTAACCCTGGCCACATACCGCTTCCACAGAGGTGGCATCTCTGGGCATGACATGTTTTGCGGGTGCCTATCTCAATCAAGCCAACCTCGCGCGAATCGGAGGTTCAACGCAACAAGAGGAAGTAGGAGCACGGGGGAGCACCCTCCCGTGCCCCAGTGGCCTGGGTCTTCTTCGCGACCTGAAGCACGTCCTCGTCGTGTAGCGTGTGCTTCAGGCCGCACGCCTCGTTGGGAGGACGGGTGGATCGAATCTTCGAGGAAGATGTCCAACAAAAATGACCCTCTCAATACATATTGCTACTTGTGCGGTTATGGCATAGTCCTGCTTCGGTCCTGACAGGGTCCACATAGAAGCTGGTGGGGTCCTGCCAGGATTCGGGCAAGGTCCTGATTGGGTCCAGCCGGAGTCCTGGTCAAATCCTGGTCCGTTGTTGGTATGGTCGCAGTATGTTAAGGCCACCGTAGTTTCCAGGCATGGTCCTGGTGGGGTCCTGGTGCGATCATGGTAGTACCAAAACCCCTCGCCGGCGACCCGTCGTTCAAGGACCTCCTGGCACGGCAAGGAACCGCATCCCATCTGATCCACTCATGCGCAAAAAACAAATGAAGACGCTCGGCCACGCCCGCTCTGACAAAATCTTGTACATCACTGGTACCAAGGAGCTGGCCTGACGACCTATGTAACGAAGCGTTCGGGAATGCAACGACATTGCGCCTTTCTGCGCCAGGATGGCTACCGTAGTCCAGCTGAAGGCCGATCTCCGACGTCTTCAGCCAGGAAAGGCAATTAGTCCAAAATGTGATCCTGGCCATGTGTTCGTTTCCGCCTCCTCCTCCTCCTCCTCATCGTCCACTGCGCAATCCAAGATGCCGTGGGCCCCAGCAGTTGCAGCCCCCAAATGCAAGACACAATGCACTCTGACGTATCAGAAGCAGGGTGTCATATGTTACGTATCAATCATGCCCGCTTTCTGGAGGGATGGATAGATGACGGGCGAAGCAGCGGGCACGTGCATCACGGGGGGGCCTGGGGGGACGTCTTGACGCTGGTGCCCCACACGATAGCGTGCTTGAACTCTTCCTGTTCGAACCAGACCAAGAATGTATCGACACACGTGAAGCATGCCGTGCGCACAATCATATCACGTATGTCGGAAAGAGGACGCATGCAGCACATACACCACCATGAATCTGAAACCACACACGAACATGGACGCACGTATTCACATGAACAATGCTTCAACCAGCAACGACTGCCACCGAGCCGATTGCAACGGCAACCAACTTTCGCATTGTGATGTTGACACTGTGGCGCTGCGAGGCGCGAACGAGTCCACGCGTAAAACCTACATGCTCGTGCAAAAATTGCAAATACCAGAGGTACTGTATAGATAGTCGAGCATGCGAGAGCAAATGTCGGAATGCCAAGCTGCGTCCATCAGAACACCCTGCAAATCATCCAACTCCCAGTAACCGCACAACAAGGGTCGGGCGCTCAAAGAACCAAGAACGCTGACAGCCACTACACAAGCGTATCTTAGATCGAACAAATCACATGTACTGCAAACAATGTGTTGCCGGCTTGGTCTGGTGGTGACCTCAATGACATCCCAAATAAGGATCCGCCTTCCACTGCATTTTCAACGCTGCGCGCGTACCGCTTCGATTGAATGTTGATTTCTTTGTGATGCACTCGGGGTCCGGTTTTACCAGCACGCCCTCTCCCTGGGAACAACCATTGTGTAGAACCCACGACATCCAACGGTTAAGTGGCTATTTTCACTCTACTGTGTTCTCCTTTCCTCCAGCGTATCATCTATCATGCACGGCGGCGCAGATTCCACGTCGGCGTGCACACGAGGAACACTCCCCCCAGCTTACCAATATGGACTTGTGCAGCAACGTCACCGCATTTTCCACGGTAAAATTCTTCAGCCCTCTCTGCGGCGTCAAGACGATGGGATCCTGCAAAGGCTTTGCGGGCAACTCGACTCGTCGTGAAATTTCAGGGGCCCTGAAACCATGCCCGAAACTCTGCGACACTGTACAATCGTTTGCGCACATACTACGTCTCAAACAATTGGGGCAACGACCCGGCCCGAGAGAACCCGAACATTGAATTGAACAGTTTCATTCAGAAACTCCTCGAATCCGCCGACCCCTTGTGGGTCTCCAGGCGTGTAGGATTTTCCCTCCATAATCCCCCCCTGGGATCCCAAAATGCGCGTTCGACCCCCCCGTCCAGGACGACCTCCGCCCGAACTCACCACAAGGGGTCTGGCCCTCCCTGGTTTTCCTTTGGAGCTCTCAGACAGCCCTTGAGGCCTCTCAGGAGGCCCGCAAAACGGTCCAAGAGGGCCCCAAGTCGCCGAAGAACCGTTCCAAGATGCCCAATATGGCCTCCAGACGGCCCAAGGTGCCTCCAAGACGTCCCAAGAGGCTTCCCAAAGGCCCACAAAGAGCGCCCCAAGAAGCAGCCCCAAGAAACAAACATTGTCTCACCCCCTTGCGACAGGGTATGTCTTTAGCATATCGCCTTGTAGGATTCACTACGCCCAAGACGACCCAGGAGGCTCCAAAGATGGTCCCGAGAAGGCCCCACATGGCCCCAAAACGGCCAACGAAATCCCCAAGACGGCCCGAGAGGGCCCCAGGACGGTCCTAAGAGGGGGCCCAGAGAGGGAACCCGAATGGAAATTTCTAGCCTTCGGCCCCGAAGCACCTCCAGGTTGCCCCAAGAAACCTTCGAAAAGGCCCCCAGGGAACCCCCAAAGGGCCCCCAAAGGCTCCGAAAAACCCAGAGGGAGGCACCCAAGAGGCGCAACTGTTGCCTCCAAAACGCCCCCGAGGGGCCCCACACGAGAACCCATCAGCCATCCGTGTGGCCTCGGAACCACAACCCAAACACGGTGGCGGGATGGGCCGAAAGCCATGCGATCCGCCGCCCCCTGCTTGCAGGGGTGCACGGCGTGCTGGATGAGCTGGTTTTGGTTTTGGTTCTTTTTCTAAAAGAACTCTCCAGTGGGCTCCGGCCCGTCCCGCCGGGGTCCCGGGAGGAAGCCGAAAGGACCTCAATCCGGAAAAAAAACCTCCAAAAAACGGCCGTTTCGCTCGGGACATCCTCAACAAATCGCGAAGATGGCCCAAGATGGCCTCCAAGTCCGCCCGAGATGGTCCAAGACGGCCTCCAAAACGGCCCAAGAGAGTCCAAGACGGCCCAAGACGGCCCAAGAGGCCCCCCAGAGGCCTCCCAGACGGCCCAAGAGGCCTCCAAGAGGTCCTCCAGGAGAGTCCGAAGAGGCCAAAATCATTGATTTTTCCTTGGTTTTTGAAGGATTCTGGCATTTGCGCCTTTTCGGCTCTCCGACGGCTCGAGACGGCCCAAGAAGCCCCCAAGATCGCCCAAGAGGCCCCCAAGAGAGCCCCATGATGGCCCAAGTGGCCTCCAAGATGGCCCCTAGAGGGCCCCAAGAGGGCCCAAGAGGCCTCCAACACGCCCAAGATGGCCTCCCAGACGCCCAAGATGGCCTCCAAGACGGCCCTGGAGCATTCCAAGCGGGCCCCAAGTCGGCCCATAGAGGCCCCCCAAACGGCTTCCGACGGCTTCAGACGTGCCAGGAACCCACCAAGATGGCCGAAGTTGGCTCGAAGCTGGCCCGAGACGGCCCAAAAAGCCCCAAAGATCGCCCAAAGCTTGCCCAAGAGGCCTCCAAGACGGCCAAGATGACCTTCAAGATGCCCACGTGTTCCCCGAAGGCTTTCCAAACCGATTCGGGGAACACGTGGTCCGATAGCTTGGCAGGTCTGGCCTCAACGTTCGGCCACATAGGCGCTTCCAAAAAGGCAGGGGGCGGCGGTGATTCGCCGTAGGCGTCTTCGATAATCCGCCGCCCCCTTTTGATTTGTCAAAGGGGTGCCTGGCGTGCCGGACGATATGGCTTTCGGTTTTGGTTCTTTTTCCAAAAGAACTCCCCCTAGGGCTTCGGCCCGTCCCGCCGGCCACCCGGAAAACCCACCTGTAGTTGCCTTTGTTGCCCCAAGATGGCCCAAGATGGCCTCCAAGACGGCCAAGATGTCCCAGGATGGCATCCAAATTGCTCCAAGACGGCCAAAATGGCCTCAAAGACGGCTATGATGGCTCCAAGATGCACCCAAGACGGCCCAAGATGGCCTCAAGATGGTCTAAGACTGTCCAAAAAGCCCGCAAGAGGCCTCCAAGACGGCCCAAGAGGTCTCCAAGAGATCCTCCAGGAAGGCCCGACGAGGCCAAAATGATTGATTTTCCGTAGGTTTGTGAAGGATTTTGGCATTTGCGCCTTTTCGGCTTTCCGACGACCCAAGACGGCCCAAGAGGCCCCCAAGATCGGCCGAGAGGCCCCCAAGAGGGCCCATGACTGCCCAAGTGGCCTCCAAGACGGCGCCAAGAGGGCCCCAAGACGGCCCAAGAGGCCTCCAACACGCCCAAGATGGCCTCCAAACCGCCCAAGATGGCTTCCAAGACGGCCCCGCAGCGCCCCAAGAGGGCCCCAAGAGGGCCCCAAGTCGGCCCAGAAATGCCCCCAAGACGGCTCCCGACGGCGTCAGACGTGCCAGGAACCCACCAAAATAGTAGAAATTTGCTCGAATATGGCCTCCAGGAAGGCTAGAAGAGGCCAAACACTTTGATTTTCCTAAGTTTTTGGCGGATTTTGACATTTGCTTCTTTTCGGCCATCCGACAGCCCGAGACGGCTCAAGAGCCCCCAAAGATCTCCGAAAGATCGCCCAAGAGGCCTCCAATATGGCCCCAGAACGGCCCAAGAGGGCCCCAAGACGGCCCCACGAGGCCCCCAAGACGGCACAGGAGGCCTTTAAGACGCCCAAGATGGCCTCCAAGACGGCCCTGGAGCATTCCAAGAGGGCCCCAAGTCGGCCCATAGAGGCCCCCCAAACGGCTTCCGACGGCGTCAGACGGACCAAGAACCCACCAAGACGGCCGAACATGGCCCTAAGATGGCCCAAGACGGCCCCATAGGCCTCCAAGAGGGCCTCCAGGAAGGCCCGAAAAAATGCCAAAATCATTGATTTCCCATGGTTTTTGAAGGATTGTGGCATTTGCTTTTTTTTTCTGCCTTCCGACGGCCCGAGACGGTTCAAGTGCCCCCACAGATCGCCCAAGAGGCCCAAGCCACGGCCCCAACAAGCCCCCAAAACTGCCCAAGAGGTCTCCAAGACGCTCAAGATGGCCTCCAAGGCAGCCCAAGAGCCGTCCAAAACGTCCTCCAAGAAGGCCCGAAAAGGTCAAATGGCCTCCAGACGGTCAAGATGACGTTCAAGATGCCCACGTGTTCCCCGAAGGTTTTCCAAACCGATTCGGGGAACACATGGTCCGATAGCTTGGCAGGTCTGGCCTCAACGTTCGGCCACATAGGCGCTTCCAAAAAGGCAGGGGGCGGCGGTGATTCGCCGTAGGCGTCTTCGATCATTCATCTGGTGTTTTGACATGTGCCCGCCGTCTGTGAGCGTGGGTGTTCGCCGGTTTTCCCATGCGTGCACGGCGAACATTGCGAATGACAGCCGCAGAACATACAATGAACCCAAGTCGCTGTCTTGGCGAGAGCGTTCCGACGAGACACCAACCAACATCCCTGAGACTCAGACCCAACATCGTGCCGGATGGACCGAAACCCATCACATATTTTTCGGTCTGGGAGCCCACACGAAGTCTCCCGATCCAGGGTGAAAACACGCTTTCCCGGGGTGCAGGAATCGTCCCGAACGGCCTCCCGCAAATTGAGTTAAGGCCCTAAGGCCAGATCCTGACGCTTTCTCCCCCTTCTCCTCCTCAGCCTCCTCCACATCCACGTCTCCTTCCTTCTCCTATCCCCCCCTGCGGCCCCGAACACTCGCGCGCTGCCACAAGCGTTTGAGCGGGTCTTGCGACCGCGCGACTTGCACGCCAAAATACCGTTCTGGTGGGAGCGCGCGCGAAATCCGGTCGAACGAAAAAACGAAATTTCGGGAGCTTCCCATTGCAGGTGCCGAAGGCTCGTACGCTTGTGAACTGCGCACCGTGAAGCCGAAGTCCAATCACTCTGCGCATGCTACTTCCGTTGCCTTCGTCACGTGCTCCGGTTCCTGCGCGCTACTGATGTGGCCCCGCCGCGGGAACTTCAGGCCGCGCGCCGCGCGCGCCAATTTTTGCTCGAGCCGTTTTCACGCATCGGTCACGCCTTTCGCGGTGACCACCTGCTTGTCACATGCCCCGTAGGCCACTCTCGCTCCTTTCTTCTTCCGACGGTCCTCCACTTGGCACCAATTCAAATGGTCAGTCTCGCAGAGAGTCAGCCCGCACCCTGGCGCACAGCGCGTCGGCGGCGTTGCCCCCGCTTCTGCTTTTCTTTTGCGATTCGCCGTCTCGTCGCTCTCCGCGCCGCCTTCTCCTTCTTCTCCGCGCGCCTCCTACGCGACCTTTCGCCGCGTCGTTTGGCCGCTTCCTGTGCCTCCGACACTTCCGCTACGTCATCGATGAGCGCCAAGTACTCCGAATTCGAACGCCGTGCGCGGACCACCCAGTCTTCCCACTTCGCCGCGCCAGCGCGCGACTTCTGTTGAGCTTTTTTGCCCGCGCATTTCCAGCGATACTTCGTCCGGGCGCGCATGCGCATCTCCCCGCCCCCCGCCCCCTCGCCGCTCCCGCGCCCGCCGCCCGGCGACGCCCCTGATTCCCTCATCGCATCCGTCGCCCAAGCTTTGCGCGTCGTGCGCCACTTTTCGTCCGCGCTCTTCATCTCCGCAGTGCAGTCCACGCGGAACTCTGGCCTCCCAATTCCCTGAAACTCGTATTTCGCGAGCGCATTCCCTAGCGGCCTCCCGTTGCGCCGCGCTCACTCGTCTCGCGGCCTCAGCTTCGCATCCCGCTCATCCCAATCAACGTGCTCTCCTCGAAGAACCTCCAACTGCTTTTCCGTGCCAGCCATCTCGCCA